CAATAACAGCAACAATAACGATAATGATAATAATATAATAAAAGCAACAATATCAACAACGAAAGCAAAACCGAAGAAAATCAAGAAAAGAGGCGTTCCCAGTAGCCTCGCCCTTCGACCCTTCGGCAGGAGATCAGCCAGGACGCTCCCTCAGCCAGACAGGCACAACAGGGACTCGAGTGTTCAGGCTCTAAGCTCACGTGATAGCGAGGACACGGGCATGTCATCGGGGCAGAAGGAACAGGAGCCGCAGCGCTATCCGAGGGCGCTGAATGGCCGAGGGAATTCGTCAAAAGAAGCAGGAGTTTCTCGTGGTGGTTGGAGTGAGGGAGCGTCGTGTGTTGGGGGTCTCTCTCTTCTTTTTTTCTGTTTTCTCTTTCTCTTATCAGTTTCATTATATATATATATATATATATATATATATATATATATATATATATATATATCCATGCATATATATGGGGAGATGTGCACACACACACACACACACACACACACACACACACACACACACACACACACACACACACACACATATATGTATACATATACACACACACATACACACACACACACACACACACACACACACACACACACACACACACACACACACACATACACACACACACACACACACACACACACACACACACACACACACACACACACACACACACACACACACACACACACACACACACACACACACACACACACACACACACACACACACACACACACACACACACACACACACACACACACATATATATAATATATATATATATAATATATATATATATATATATGTGTGTGTGTGTGTGTGTGTGTGTGTGTGTGTGTGTGTGTGTGTGTGTGTGTGTGTGTGTGTGTGTGTAGAATGCAAACATATATTCCACACTGATTTTTTTCTCTCTTCTTTACCATAGTTTCTACTACTGCCGAAATATTTTCTGTAGTGACAGAAAACGGGCAATATCTGTGACATGGATAACTATTTTCTTTTATAGAAAGTTTAATATTTTAAATTTTAATAGTTCAATCATTTGATTTTCTTCTGCATTCATAAGACGGGTAATGATGATTTGAGATTGCAATTTCCTATTTCAATTTGTAAATAAAAATGGACATAATTTTATCATAGGTTCATTGTCATTATGAAAACAAGTAATGATTTGTTTACTGCAGTAGTATGAAACATACAAGCGTAGCATTAGAAAATACAATAATAATTTTTTCACATATATTGGTTTCCTGAGTCTTCACATATTTTCTTTATTTTTTGAAAGAGCGCTTTATTATTTTCCTAACTTTGTCCTGTACCAATCGGTTCTTTGTTATGTACCAGTCTTCTTTATCACTGACGTTGTACCAATCAGTGTTTCATCATTATAACTAACATTACCTTATTCGTGACTAAATACTCTTAAAATTCCTACATACAGTTGTACAGAGTTCTGGAATTAACACTTGTTTTTTCGTTACTTTATTTTTACTATTCGTTATTTATATTATCTATATTATTCGTTATTTATATTTATATTATCCGTTATATTATCTATATATTGTTATTTATATCATCTATATTATTAATTATTCATATTATCTATGTTATTAGTTATTTATATTATCTATATTATTCGTTATCTATATTATTCGTATTACTTATATTATCCGCTATTTCCATGCCGACACTAGTCATGGAAAATACTAGAAAATATTAAAACCGGATAATCAGATTCGTAATATATATTTTTTTATAAATATAAATATTTTTGTTTCTAGTTTAACTGTGATTCCATCTTCTGGTGACGATGTTATTTTGTTATTATCCTTTGTCGTATTTCTATCGTCTGTTTTGCCATGTGGTTTGGGTTTAGTACTGGACATGAGTGAATTTCTGAATATTAAGTAAGTTTTTTTAATGCGTAACATAACAATGATGATAGTGCTAATAATAATGGTTATAACAGTAATGACAATAATGAAACTAAGGATAATGATGATGATGATGATAGTAATAATAACAATGATTATGATTATGATATAATGATAATGATAATAATGCCGATGATGATTATGATAATGATGATAATAGCAATAAAGCATTATGATGATAGTGATAATGATAGTACTGTTGGCGATAATGATAATGATAATAGTATTAACAATAATAACAATAATAGAAATGACAATAATGATATTATTAATCATCATTATTATTATTGTACTAATAGTAATAATGATACTAAGAATAATGACAATAATAACATTTAATAGCAACATGATAAGTGAAAAAAAGACAATAAAAGGTATGAGTGAATATTAAGATAAGGCGATGGAATTACGAAAGTTTGAACAGCACCGACATCACCGTGATAAGGTCTTATCAAACAAAATCATTGTGAAATGTTTTGACGACTAATATTCAAGCCTTTATTGTAGTCCAGACGTATTTGTTCACATTATTTACCCTAAAAATAATAGCCACAATCACAATACGTCGATACTAAGATCTGACACATTTCAAAAATATTTTATTTAATTTTGGAACCATTTATAATAAAATCATATTAGGATGGATTCATCAACTTTTTTTTCTTCTTTTTTTGTAGTATTTCAAACACAAATTAATCTTCAGAAAATCGTTATTTTTTACGTATTTCAGATAAGGCGATTTCATTGTGTTTATAATGATATAATCTTTTAACCTGTATTATCAAAACTATACTTACCTCGATAAAAATAAGTGTGTTTGAATTATGATGTTTGGAAGAAAGAAAGAAGATGATAAGAAAGGATACAATAATAAAACCAAAACAAAAGAGAAAGGAGACTATAAAAATGGACACTAATTTGCACAGAGTTTTCGTTCAATAACACGCGATCCAAACTACATCAATATCTTTGAAACAATTTGAAATGGACATCATATCGCTTTCACTTCAAGGAATATTTAATATCTTTAAAGTCTTTTATTACAAGATTCTTTTTACGAAACGATACATTACTCTCCACACTTTTCATTTTAAAACATGAATATAAAATGGCTTCGAAAATCAACATATACGCAAATGTCCCGTTTCGATATTGTATATATATATATATATATATATATATATATATATATATATATATATATATATATATATATATATATATATATATATATATATATATATGTATATATGTATGTATATATATATATATATTATATATATATAATATATATATTATATAATATATATATATATATATATATATATAAACCTTCTTTTCAATCAAATTGCTAGTCAAGTTTACAAATCATGAAAACATATCTGACCTAACCTAACATTATAATCCGTGTACAAAGATAAACAAAATCACATTGATAAGAAAGTGATAAACAATAATTGCGTTTCGAGACATTTTTTCACCTCATCAGATGTTTTGACTGAAGGGATCTTCTTTATTACGAATGTTAGAGAGATAGATAGAGATCGATTGATAGATAGATGGATAGAGATAAATAGATAGATAGAGATTGATAGATGAATAGGTAGCTAGATATAGATAGATAGACAGATAGACAGATAGATACATAGGTATATATATATATATATATATATATATATATATATATATATATATATATATATATATATATATACATATATATATATATATATATATAATATATATATATACGTATATATATATATATATAATATATATATATATATATATATAATATATATATAAGAGAGAGAGAGAGAGAGAGAGAGAGAGAGAGAGAGAGAGAGAGAGAGAGAGAGAGACAGACAGACAGACAGACAGATAGATAGATATGAATTCCTTAATGAAGAGGTCGAATACAGAGTCAAATCCTTCACGAAACATAAATTCCCTTTGGATTTCCTTCCTTCTAAATAACTGAGAACACTTTTCCTAATATTAAAACAAGAAAAATACTCTGTAGCGGGTATTGTATCTGTTCACTATCAAATCGTCAAGAGTCACTCCATGTCTGTTATCTATCACTATTCGTCTGTATATTCAAATGTACACACATTATTTTTCATTATTTTTCCTTTTTTAAGACATATGTTTTCTATTTTCTCCTTTAGTGTACTAATTTATTTTTACAAAAAGAAAAGAGAACACTTATTCATACCTAATCGTCTTTTTCTTCTTTTCTTTTTTTGTAAACGTTTTTTTGGGGAAAGATGCTTATAGCAACGTTTGATAATAACATTGGTGTTGAATTGTTTGATAATTTATTTTGTTGTTGTTTAGGTTAATAAATTTGATCGTTTTAGTTAAGTTGTTCAGACCAATTAAACGTATAATTTTTTGCCGTAATCTTGTAGGTACCATGTCATGTTGTATAATGTTATACTATGCTATACAATGTCATGTTATACTGCGTTAATTATCTGGTCTGGCAGGTTATATTAGTATATGATACGACGCACGGTTTTAAATTCATACTTTTCTCGTTATGACCAAAAGATGGAAACCTGTTTGACTTCTCCATGAATTCCTTTCGTATCTGGTTAACTCGCTGTCAATTAAAAAGAAAGAGGGTTTGAAAAGGATTAGTGAAAATCTGGCTGCTTATTCCAACGTCTTTTATTGGTTGTGGTTATAAATATTAGCCTGAAGATATGAGTAAGAAATATCTTAGGAATCTGAAAATTTATGATTATTGGAAGGGCCCTGTGTAAGCGCCTACATACACAGTGTGTGTGTGTGTGTGTGTGTGTGTGTGTGTGTGTGTGTGTGTGTGTGTGTGTGTGTGTGTGTGTGTGTGTGTGTGTGTGTGTGTGTGTGTGTGTGTGTGTATACGTAAATGTACACATCTACCCACACACACACACACACACACACATACACACACACACACACACACACACACACACACACACACACACACACATACATATATATATATATATATATATATATATATATTATATATATTTATTTATATTAGTGTGGACAGTAACATAACTCAAAAATGGGACAAATTTATGAACAGATTAATAAATCTTCTAATTCCACGGTATTGTTATTGTTTCCTCTACTGTTGTTAATCTACGTCAGCAATAACCTTACGAAAAAAGTGGTTAAATCATAACAAAATAACAAAAAATATTTCTCGATGACCCAGGCCTCGTGATCTCTCATGAAGGCTGACATGAGGTCATATCACCGAAGGCGAGGTCACAGAAGGTCACTCCCGCCACGCTGCCGCCCCAGCTGTCCTTCCTCTCGGGGTAGAGGGCGGGGTGGTGGGCGGCCCCTAGAGGGTGGTGGGCGTAGGACGCTCCGCCTTCATCCCAGGGCGTCAGGAGTCCTCCGTGGCCTCCTTCGGGCATGAGGAGTCCTTGGTGGAGGCCTTGGGGCGTGGGCGGGATTCCCCTGGCGTGCTGTGGGTGGGGCGTCATCACAGGCGGGTAGAGATGGTCCACTTTGCCCTGGAAGTGGGCGTGGGCGGGCGGGGCGGCTTCGGGCACGTGGGCGAGGGGGTCAGAACCGCCCACCCCTGCGTAGAGGCGGACTCGCATGGGCCATTTCTGTGGAAGACGAGGCGAGGTTGTGTTTCTGATTTTTTTTTCATTTTTTGTTTTAATTTGTTTTCGTGATGCAAAGGATACACACATGCACACACGCGCGCGCACACAGTTACAAACACAAACACATACACACAAATACACACGCAAGTACAAACACAAACACACAAATAAAGACACACACATAGCCACAAACATGAACACACACAATTACAAACACAAACATACACACACACATGGACGCACACAATTACAAACACACCCAGACACACACACACAATTACAAACACAACACACACCCCACAAACACATACATACAAAAAATAACGCAACACACTCACCTTAACCGGATGCAAAAGCCCCTTCTGTTGGACCCGACTGACGCTGGCAGCCTCGAGCGAAGGGGTGCTCGCTGGGCCGTCCGCGTAGTTGTTGGGACAGTGTGTGTTGGCAGGAGCTGTGTCCAGGCCTCGCAGTGTCGTGTAGTTGCTACTGTTGTTGTTGTTGTTGTCGTAGTTGGAGGTGGGAGTTGTGGTTGTGCAATCGTCTTGCAACAACTTCGAAAGATGAGATATGTAGGTCGTGGCGAGAACTAACACGTCCAGCTGTAAGATGAAAGGAATTTGGATGTACTCGCGAGTGGACCATCGTTTATCCGGCACATCTGGTTCCAGGACCGTGCCGGATTATCCGTTTTGCCGGATTATCGGATGCCACATGATAGCCTAGTATTTCTTAAACACTATAAACTAAAACTGATGTTTGTTATTTGCTGAGAAGCCATAAATCGGGGCATTGTAAGGAAAATCGGTTAGCAAATGCACAAAATCGATTAGATTTCGATTGGGACACCATTACATTGCAGTGTAGACCGTGAGGGTTAACATTTACCATTGTGCACAGGAAAATTAAATTCCGTGTGTTTTTTTGTGAGCATGTCCACAACAGTATTCTGTGTGTGTGTGTGTGTGTGTGTGTGTGTGTTAGGCGACATATTTATGATGATATAAGTAAAAATAGACTTTTGGCTACGATTACGCGTGTGTGGATTTATATTCGCATGCTTAGATCTACATACTAATACACATATGTACAAATCTATCTATCTGATGATCCATCATATCTGTCTGTATATTTATCTATATGTCTATTCACTTATTTATATACATTTTTTCTTTCTATCTATCTATCTTTCTTTTTTTTCTCTCTCTATCTATCTATTTATCTATCTCCATCTCTCTCTCTCTATCTATCTCCATCTCTCTCTCTCTATCTATCTCCATCTCTCTCTCATCTACCTCCATCTCTCTCTTTTTATCTCCACCTCTCTCTCTATCTACCTCCATCTCTCTCTTTTTATCTCCGCCTCTCTCCCTATCTATGTCCATCTCTCTCTCTCTCTCTCCATCTATCTCTATCTATCTATCTATCTATCGATCGATCTATCTATCTCTCCACAGCCCACCTTGGACAGCTTGGTGTGGGCGGGGACGGAGGGAATGGCCGCCTGCAGCTCCAGATACGCCCGCCGAAGACTCTCCACCCTCGACCTCTCTCTAAGGGCGTTCTTCGACGTGCCTGGGTGAGTCAGGGTGAGTAAGGGTGAGTCAGGGTGAGTGAAGGTGAGTAAGGGTGTGTGAAGGTGAGTCAGGGTGAGTGAAGGTGAGTCAGGGTGAGTGGAGGTGAGTCAGGGTGAGTGAAGGTGAGTAAGGGTGAGTAAGAGTGAGTGAAGGTGAGTAAGGGTGAGTGAAGGTGAGTATGGGTGAGTGGAGGTGAGTAAGGGTGAGTGAAGGTATGTGCTGAGAGCTGAACGTGCGTAAGAGTGAGTCAGGGTGAGTAAAGATGAATGAGGGTGAGTATAGGTAACTATGTATTCATCTGTTTATCTATTAGGATGAGTAAGCGTGAATAAAGGTGAGTACAGGTAACTTAAGGTGTG